CCCACCCCCCACCCCAAGCTGAGGCCCTGTGAGCTGCTGGCTGGAGTTTGAACTCGGGTGGGGATGGCTCCGGCTAGCCCTGGTCTCTCCCCTGCCCCCTTCTAGCTGGCCTCCACATGCTGCCCTGGCGCTCACTGGCCAGAACTGCTTCCGCTAAGCCAGGCCCCTTCTCCCCATCTTCCTGCAGATGGCTGGCAGCTGGGCCCTGGCTGCACCTAGCATGGAAGAGCCAGTGAGATAATCAGACCGGGGGCTGGAATCCTTCCAGATGTGCAGCAGCCACTGCCCTCCAGAGTGGAGACAGCTGGCAGAGCCCCTGCTTGGAACCAAGAGAAGCCCTGCCCCCATGGGAGGGGGCTACATGTGAGCTAAGCAGCCTCTGGTCTCAGCACCACACCCACCAGTTCCTGCCAAGACCCTGGGCTGTCCCCGTTGCTTATGCCCATGGGGACGGGGGCAGACATGGCCTGCTGGTGGGCCGGCTGGCTGCTGGGGCTGGCTGAGGCTTGGGGGCAGCTTCTGGCACAAGGGACGCTGGAGCCCTGGGCCCAGGAGGCTCAGTGGTCGGGAAACACGTCTGCATGCCCAGCCCGCAGCCGGCAGCGCTGCCTGCCACAGTGCATCATCCTGGCAGCCCTGCCTGCCACAGTGCATCATCATTGGGGTGAGGAAGGGGGGCACGCGGGCCTTGCTGGAGATGCTGATGCTGCACCCCCAGGTAGCCGCTGCTCCCGCCGAGGTGCACTTCTTCAACGTGGAGGAGAACTACCAGCGGGGGCTGGGCTGGTACCGCCAGCAGATGCCTTTCACCTGCCCCAGCCAGCTCACCCTGGAGAAGACCCCGGGCTACTTCTCCTCCCTGCAGGCCCCCGAGCGCATGCACGCCATGGACCCCAGCGTGCGGCTGCTGCTCATTGTGCGTGACCCGGTGGAGCGGCTGGTGTCAGACTACACCCAGGTCCTGCACAACCGCCAGGCCCGGCGCAAGCCCTACCCAGCTCTGGAGCAGCTCCTGCTCCTGCAGGGCCAGCTCAACCCCCGCTACAAGGCCATCCAGCGCAGCCTCTATGCCCTGCACCTGGCCCGCTGGCTGGCCTTCTTCCCCCTGGCCCACATCCACGTGGTAGACGGGGGCAGCCTGGTCCCCCAGCCCCTGGGGGAGCTGCGCCGGGTGGAGCAGTTCCTAGGCCTGATGCCTTGGCTGGGCCCTGACAACTTCTACTTCAACCAGACCAAGGGCTTCTACTGCCTGCGGGCTGGGGCTCACCAGCGCTGCCTGGATGAGTCCAAGGGGCGGCCCCACCCTCCCATCCCTGAGCTGGTGCTGGAGCAGCTCTGCACCTATTTCAGTGCCCACAACAAGCACTTCTTCAGCCTGGTGGGGCGCACGTTCAACTGGTGCTGAGGGTGGGGGGAGGCCTGGAGCCAGAGGTCCCCTCACTGCTGAGCTGGTACCACCCCATACAAGGCAGCTACCTCTCCCCTTGCGCTCAGCAGGCTGCTGGGGCTCTTGATGGGGCTGTAGGGAGAGGGGGCCAGAAGTCCTCAGCTGCCCAGGAAGTGCACTCCTAGAAGGGCTCTGCAGGGTGGGAGTGGGGAAGCAGTTTGGATGAGAGACCAGCAGCTTCTACAATTTGAAAGAGGTCTCTTTCTCCCCCCCTTCCCTTGGTCCGTCAAAGGCACCAAGCTCCACAGCCACCCGCTCCCTGGCCTGGGGACCCCTCTCTCCTCATGGGTGGCTCCAGGCTTTCCTGCTGTCACTGAATTCCCCAGCAGGCCTGCCTCTGGGCAACAGTGACGTGGGTTCCCCTGCATAAGCCTCCAGCCCAGGTGAAAGCACTGCAGAGCCCCTGGCTTTTGGCTGGCTTGCAGGGAGCAATGGGTGAGCAGCTCCAGCTGGAGTCATTCAGGCTGTAGCCCACAAGGCCCAGGAGAACCACACTGCTCCCCATGGGGAGGGGGCTGAGTGGGGGCAGTCCAGTGGCCCTCCTGGTCTGAGCCGGCCGGAGGAGGGGGCTGCCCCTGGAGCAGCTGGGACAGTCCCCCCCCCCCCAGCATGCTAAGGGAAGGACAGGCCCTGCACCTTTGCCTGCAACAGCAGTTTAGTGCACTGTGATTATTGCCCCACACGGGGAAGCCCAGCGGCAGCATTAAAAGTGGCAGGGGGGTTAGTCCTGGGCTCACTTAGTGCCCAGGGTGGGCACATCTCACCCACTCACTCTGCACACAGCCACATAGTGTTAGTACAGAGTATGCCCCTGCCCCTGCCCCAGCCCACCTAGCACAAGGAGCATTTCCTGTGCTGGCCCTCAAGCCTGTGGGAGGGTTGAGCCCTCACAAGGCTGAATTCCCTGTGCTAGCACAAGGTAGAGGCACACAAGCCCCAGACAGCCCATGGGGTCACAGCAAGGCACCCAACTCACACAGCCTGCACCTTAATTCAGCTCCCAGGATTCCCTCACATGGTGACAGCCCCACCTAGCACAAGGAGCATTTCCTGTGCTGGCCCTCAAGCCTGTGGGAGGGTTGAGCCCTCACAAGGCTGAATTCCCTGTGCTAGCACAAGGTAGAGGCACACAAGCCCCAGACAGCCCATGGGGTCACAGCAAGGCACCCAACTCACACAGCCTGCACCTTAATTCAGCTCCCAGGATTCCCTCACATGGTGACAGCC